CTCCACGCTCTCCGCGCGCCCGCTCCCCGCGCTCGACCTGTATCGAGATGAGGGGAGGAGCAGCCCACAAGCCGACTGCGAAGGCCTTGCGGCCGCCGACCCTTAAAGGTGACGTCGACGACGACGACGACGACGACGACGACGACGACGACGACGCTGACGCTCTGGAGCCGAAAGGTTCTCCCAGGCCAGGGAGGGAAGCTCCCCCCCGAGGGGGGGGGTCACAACCACCGGGACCCCCCCCGCAGCATCCTCCCCGGGATACCTCCCCAGGAACCTCGGCGGACCCTCTCCCCGGGACCCCCCCGCGCTCGCTCTTTTCAAAGATAGGGGGTAGAAACAGCCTACACGCCGATGTGAATCTGCTGGAGTTGGGGAGTCGTGCATGTTTTTGCGGTTGGGGAGCTGGCAGTTTCTCTCCATAGAGTTTTGCAGCTCCTGTAAGTTACTCGTTGGATCTTGCAGCAACCACCGTGGGACCGCACGGCTTCGGTTGCGATGCTTCTGGCCACGTGCCTTGCTGCTCGGGGCTCGGCCGATGTTCCCAGTCAGCTGGCGGGCCCTCTTCCAGCGAAGAGGTCGAGGACGTCGGAGGCCGGGCCGTCGCGTGCCTTTGCTGGCGCGCTCGGCGTCTCGTTGGTATATTTCTCGTCGTCGCACTCGTCGGCAAGGTTCTCTGGAATGTTCGTCGTCGACAGACAGGTAGGGTCCAATCTCCAGGAGGTCACGCGTCCCGAGGGTGCTGATGGAGCAGGAGGAGGCAAGCGCTGCAATAGCCGATGAAAGTCCGCTCAACGTCAAAAAGGAGGGGGAGGAGGAAGAGGATGATGAGGATCAGGAGGCGTAGGAGGAGGAGGCGGAGGAGGAGGAGGCGGAGGACCAGGACATCTCCCGTATCCCCCAGTCCCCCCCCCCTTTCCCCGCTCCCCTCTCGTCGAGGAGGGAGGGCAGGCGGAGGCGGAGAGCGTCGCGCAGCCTCCTTCACTGTGCAGTGCATCTCTCCCCTCCGCCTCCGGTCCCTTCGCCGGCGATGCTCGTTCGATGCTGCACCTAAGGCAGTTACGCCCGCAAAGCCCCCAGGGGGCCAAGCGCGTAGCCTCTCGTTCTTCTCGCCCGAGGCCCGATCCAAAACGGCGGGGCCGTCGCGCGGCCCCCCCCTCCCGAGAGGTATTCGCCGTCGGCGGCCACGACGGCTACGAGCACCTGCGAGCCGTGGAGGCTCCGCGGGGCCCGCCGCACGCCGTAGCCCGCGGCCGCCTCTGCGGGTGCCCCCCCCCCCTCCCCGAGGGTGGCTTTCTCCTCGTAATCTAAGCCCTACTTCGCGTTTCAGCCCTCTTAATTATCGTGGTATCCACCTCACGTCTCAAATGTCCACGGCAATAGAGCGTCTGCTGTGCAATTCTTTTGTGCTCCGTTTAATTTTGAACGGATTTTACGAAGCTTCGCAGTACGCTTAGACTCGGAGGCCACCTGGGGCGGCGAGGAGGCCACCTGGGGCGGGTTCGCCGATCGAGGCGCGACGACCCCAGACCTCCCACGTGCGGAACAGAGCCAAGACGGAGGCCTGTCGCCTCCGGGGGTCCTCGCTGGGCCCCGGGACGGGCAAGGAGCGGCTCAGCACGGAGAAACCGGCCCTGGGGAAATCGTCGGGACTTCCAGGGGCCGCGCGTTGAAAAATTTCCAGACGGCGGGTGCCTGGGATGTTTCCCTGGGGAGGCTTCCCCCGGCCGGGGGGGGCTCCCTCCCAGGAGGGTGGTGGGCTTAGGCCGCTCTCCCTTTGCATCCGAAGAAGGCAGAAACGGCATAAACATGATCTTTTTGACCAGTTTGAAACATATCCCTATCCCTATGTTTGACATCACCTCACCTCGATGCCGATCTTAAGGATTCCCTCAGTTTCTGAGGGCCTGTCCCTAAGATTGTCCTCTCTTTTTGCTCGCCCATCTTAGGATTAGGAATGACTTCGGGGCTGGTTATGCATCCGAAGACAGCAGAAACGGCATCAACATTCACTTTTGAAGCTCCGCGCAGATTTATTGGACCTGCACTGGGCTCCGCCGGCGGCGCCTCCCTGGCGCGCGGGGCGCGCCGGGGAGAGGGGTCCAGCGCAGATCCAAGACATCTGCGCGAAGTTCCGAAGGTTGATTCCCCAAACAGTGCTTGCACTTCTCAGGAGGGGAAAAACCACACAGACAAAATGAATCGTCGATCCCTAGGGAAATATAAGAAACTATGGGAAGTGGGGGGAATACGAAAACCCAGAAAATACCGCAAAATATGGAATAATCCTTTTATTTGTGTGGATTCATTTGTGTGTCCCAGGGCCCCTTCAACATAGGGCTTGCACTTAGGATCTCCTATTTGTCTTTGAGGAGCTGGACCTGCGGGCCGCTCTGGCCGCCGTGTGGCCGCCGCGTGGCCGCCATGCGGCCGCCTCGTCGCCGCCCGTCGCCGCCCGGAGCTGTGATGTCATCGCGCTGCATTGCAGGTGCTTGGCATCGCTCGGACGTGTGCATTGGCTCTCGGCGAGAACTATCGAGGACCATCCTTGACCATCGAGCAGAAAAAACGTCGCCGCCCATCGCCGCCCGTCGCCTGGGAGTTGTGATGCAGTCGCACTGCATTGCAAGTGCTTGGCATCGCTCGGACGTGTGCACTTGTTCTCGGCGAGAATTATCGAGAACCATCCTGGACCATCAAGCAGAGAAAACACTCACGACACCGAACAATGCACAGGAAATGGACGTCCGAGCGACGGCAGCATTGCGCTGCTTTGCATTGGATTACCACGCATTGCTTTGAACTGATTTGCGTTACGTTGCATTGGTTAGCGTCGCATTACGTAGCATTGAGTTGCACTGCATTGCGCTGCTTTGCATTCCTTTGCATTGCGTTGCATGCATTGCGCAGCATTCCTTGGCATTCCTTTGCATTGGTCAGCAATGATTTGCCTTACTTGTCGTTGCGTTGTGTTGTTTTGCGTTGATTTGCATTATTTGTCATTGCTTTGCATTGCACTGCTTTTCATTGCTTTGCATTGCGTTGCATTGTGTCGCATGGCGTTGCATCGCTATGCTTTGCTTTCCCTTGCGCTGCATTGCGTTACATGGCGGTGTCTCATTGCTTTGCGTTGTTTTGCACTGCTTTGCACCCCAGGAATCGCACCATATGGATTGCACCATCCAGATTGCACGGAATCGCTGTTTGAGGTCTACGCTGGCTAGCATATTTATCCGTAGACGGGCTAACGGCGATGTAGGTTTCGGTAGTGTGGAAACGCGTGGCTCGCGCTTTCCTACAATTCGCTGTGTCGTGTTCGCTCGATCCGTTCGCAGATAGGAGATGTAGGAAACTGTGGTTCGCAATTTTCTACGATTTAGTTCCCAACATCACCGTTGAGCAACATCGCTGTTAGCCCGCCCTTGGTTTATACATGTTTCTCCCTCCACCCCCAGAGGGTGGCAGTCTCAAGCCACTCTACACCGCAGGCGGCGGTCAGCCGTCGAGGCGACCTTCGCGGCAACGGGCGAGGTGTGGAGTGCCCTGCTTCGCTCGCGGAGGGCTCTGGCAGCACGTTCGTGTTAATCAGCCGCTCTGCTTGCGATCCTTTCTCTCACGCGCGGGGGGGGGGATGCAACTCCTGGGAGGTCAAATTCTGATTTCCCTCTGGTCCGAAGTCCGGCTCAATCCCGCTCAATCCCGCTTACTCCCGCTCAATCCCGCTTAATCCGGCTTTAATCTCGCTTGATCCGAGGCCCTTTCCGGCGTAACAGCCCCCAAATGGGGCTTAATCCTCCCTGATCTTTCCGACGACAACCTCCCAGCAGTTGCCTCCTAAGGGGGGGGAGCTCCCTGCAGAGCTCCCTCCCCAGGCGGGGGCGGTGGGGCTCCCCCCTTTCGCAGGCATAGAGGTTGACACCAACACCAATATCGGCGGTGTGCCTCCACCGAGAGAAGTAGATCCCGACCTCGATGATGGTGGTAATACTCTGGCTTCCAAGGTGACCGAACTGTTACCACCAACGCCGAAATCTAGGACCATCTTCCCCCTGTGGAGGCACATCCCTGTGTTGGTGTTGGTGCCCACTTCCAGGCCTCCAACCCTCGGAGGAGCGGAGGCCGCCTGCCTGTGCGGGGGCGCCCCGTGCGGGGCAGCTCTGCCGAGTGCCCTCTCTCGCGAAGAGCCCCGGGGCCGATGGCGCGTGCACGAGCTGTGCGCCCGCCCCATTGCCTCCTTGCCTCCTCCTCCTCCTCCTCCTCCTCCTCCTCCTCCTCCTCCTCCTTCGCCTCCTCCTCCTTGCCTCCGCCTCCTCCTCCTCCTGCTCCTCCTCCTCCTCCTCCTCCTTGCCTCCTCCTCCTCTTCCTTGCCTCCTCCTCCTCCTTGCCTCCTCCTCCTCCTCCTTCGCCTCCGCCCCTTGCCTCCTTGCCTCCTCATTGCCTCCTCCTCCTCCTCCTCCTCCGCCTTCTCCTCCTCGTGGAGTATTCTCAGGCGATCGCAAACATGGATCAAAGGGGGCGTGGATCAGCGACGGGTCCCGTCTCCATGGGAAGTCGCGGATTTCCGCCGCCGAGCGGGGCGGCACCGGCCGCATTTGGGGGGGATGCATGGAGTTGGCGACCGCGTGCCAAATCCATGGATCGCTAATCTATGTTTGCGCGCCCCCGATATCCATTGTTGGCAAGTCGCTTCTCTGGTGCACGCTGCGGGGCGGCAGCATTGCTCTGGCAATTCGCAGTCCTCGGGGCAGCGCAGTCGTCGTCGATGTGATGAGACGGGGGAGAGAGGGCAAGTAATGACATTCATCTTTGCTTCATGTGCTCTCAATCTGGCGGCGGGCTTGGAATGCCCCGAAGGTGGCCAGATTTCCCCTCTCGGGTAAGAGCGCTTGACAAGAAGGTCCCAAGCCGTCCAAAGCCTCGATCGTCCGATCTCCTCCTCGCCTTCCCTTGTCTTCTGGATGCTCCTGGAGAGCGCAAGGTGCTTGACGTGGGGAACCAGTGCGGGAGGCTCAGCAGACCTGGATTCGCCGCTGATCGGGGCTTGACCGTGGATCGGAGCAGGAGTCGAGGTGGGCCGAAAATTGGGAAAAACCTCCCGTCGGAGGAGGAGGAGGAGGGAGGAGGAGGAGGAGGAGAAGGAGGAGGAGCAGGAGCAGGAGGAGGAGGAGGAGGAGGATCCTTTTTGGGTGTCCTGGGGTACCCACGTCGCCTCCGCTGGAGCCGCCTTGAAATTCCAGCCGAAACGCCGCCCCGGGCAGAGTCCAGAGAGGTCAGTTGGAGGGAAGGGGCCCAGGCTTGCGTGGACTCGAACAGTTGGTGCCCGAGGTGTTTCGCACTGTTCCGCCTCTGGAAGTCTTTGTCTGGACTGGACCTCGGGATCGTCAAAAGACTACCCAGGATGAAAACCGGTTCCGAATGAGGAGGCGGAGGAGGAGGAGGAGGAGGAGGAGGACGCCTCAACCTCCTCCAACCCGCCTCCTCCTCCTCCTCCTCCTCCTCCTCCTCCTCCTCCTCCTCCTCCTCATCCTCCCCTCCTCCTCCTCCTCCTCCTCCTCCTCCTCCTCCTCCTCCATCATCCTGCTTTGCACGCTCTGCCGCGCGCACCATTCTCCTGCTCCATTTCCCAACGCTCGCGGGAGAGAGGGTATCAGACTACATCCCGGAGTCTGGTTGTCAATGTTTTTGGGGATTTTGTCTTCCTCGCTAACAGCCGTGTGATCCACGCTGTCGAATTGTGCCTTGCTGCTGCCGGTTTGCTCCTCGAGTCTGACGAACCAACCCCATATTCATAGGAGGGTCGGAAAGGGCTATGGGTGCGTATTGTGGGATGGGGGTCCCCGCTCGAACGGGAGCGTTCCCTAGGCTCCGACAATTCGCACCCATACCCATAGCCAGTCCTCCTCCCAACGACCTCCTTATGGACATGGGTGTGTGTTGTTCGTTCGTCAGAGTTCCCAGCTGGGCCGTTGTTCCCCGAGTTCGGCGTTGAGCTGGCGAACGGGCGGCCTGCGGAGCCAGTGCAACTTGGCGCAGCTGGGTACATGGATGACGTTGTCCAGCCATTGTTTGGTCAGGCGTGTGAGATCGTCGGTAGAATAATGGCGTGTGCCACAATATTCGAGGGCGTGCTCTCGGGGTGTCTACTACTCATTCATTTCAAGCGAGGCAAGACAGAAACATTCATCTGGTTCGATGGCCCTGTTTCTATCGAGGCGCAGCGCCAGCTGTTCAGCGAAGCCGGGGGCCTCATTCATTTCGAGTCTTGTGGCAAGCAGCGCCAGTTGGTGCGACATCCCAGTACAAGCGCGTGGGTACATTGACTTGTTCCACAGGCTCAATGCACCCAGTGATCACTGCAAAAGTCGGTGCGTTGAGGGCAGTCGTTTAACATTTGCGACACGCAGTGCTGCAGCGTAGTTTTGTTCCGTGTGCAACACGGCTTGCGTTGTGCCGCGGACTGTTGTCTGCGCGTGATCCTCACCAGGCCAGTACATGGCCCCAGATGCACACTGCTGAGGTGATGAGAGTCCACACGGTTTCGGTGCAGGTGTATACTGCAGTTCAGAAACAAAAAGACTCGAACGACAGTCGTTGCCCGTCGCGCGAGTCCATTGCTGAGCACGAGTGCTTCATCGCACTTGCGACTATGATCTTGTGCATGCGAGTTGGGTTGTTCGGCGGAGTATGTTTGAAGGACCCGCGCGCTCTGTGCGTTGCGCTGTCCCACACCATTGGGGTCCACAGGTCCTGGGAGCATGCTGTTTCTGCATATTCAAACTTGCTGAGTTCGTGTTCTGGTTCGTTTGCTGAACGCGACCAAACAACCCACAGGAAATTGGTATCCTGTGATCCGTTACAATCCGAAGCGCCCCAGAGCGGCGGTGCACGACGCCAGGCGCGAATGTGCGTTTAACGAGGCGAAACCTTGGGCCCAAACCTGGCGGATGGCCCAACTGAGCACCAATGTATCGTGCCACTCTTGTCCGTGCACTTGTGACTCGAGGCTGGATCTGGCCACCCGTGCTTTTTCGGTGCACGGTGTGAGGCGCCGCGCGCGCGACCTGACCGATACCATGCAATGCTCCGTTTGCGTGCAGCTGTTCCACTCTCGCGTGAGGGTGGCGAACCTGTGGGAGGAACGCTCGGACAAAATGCCATCCAGTCGTCCTGGCGACTTCCAGCAAGTTGCCTGACGATACCACTACCAACGTTTTATCGGAGGACGCCAGGCGACAGTGTCGTCCGCGAGCGAGCCAGAAAGAGCCAGAGGCCACACCACATTGACACTCTTGCCTGTCAGTTGGAGGGACTGGTGGCTTCAGAAGCATCTGAGGCCGGCTTGGGCCATACTTGTCTCCCTATGTCCAGTGAGTCAAGGGGCTCTGCAGCATCACTTGAATCATCCCAATGAGGATCCGCCCGTGCATTGTCTTTCTCCTCGCGCCTCCGCCATGCGTGTTTCTCCACGTTCGCGGACGTTCCAAGCTGCTCGGAAACGAAACGAGGAAGAACATGAGGAGATGGAGGGGAACGCGACCTCTCTGCTGCAGCAGCTTGAACGTGTTCCCGCAGACACCGCGGTAACCAAATTCGGGGGCGAACGAAGACGATGGTGACTGGAGCACCATAACTCCATAGTCCATCGTAGAATCATGACTTGAGCCCACAAAGCGTCCAGGGCGTCCAGGGCAGTGCACTGAGGATGAAAGCGGACATATGGGTTCAGGCGCTTTGTACCTCCCCCTTGCGTTGAGCGGTCGTAACCGGCGCGTCGGCAGTGGCGTCAACCGCGCGCATGATGAGCTTGGTCAGACAAGATTCTGCGGCGGGAAGACTGGAAGCGCGGAGTAGCGGCGAACGCGAGCCAACCCTGCCACCCACTCGCGAACGCGAGCCGAGCCCTGCCACCCACGCGTTTTAGTACATATATACACATAAAACATGTGTGTGTATGTATGTATGGATGTATGTATTTATGTATGTATGTATGTATGTATATATATATATATACATAGCGTGTCGGGCGGCCTGCCAGGCTCCCCGAGCGCCCCCGCCGCGCCGCTGCACAGGCGCGCCCAGCCCCCCCCCCCCCCCCCCCCGCTTCCACGAAAGCGCCGAGCCCAGCCCAGCACGGCACGCGCCGCGCAAGTGGGGGGAGAGACCATCTCCGCACGGCGCGCGCCGTCGGAGAGTGCTTTAAGGAGACCTTCCCCCGCGCAGCCGCCTTCCCGCAGCTTGGGGCCCGCAGCGCCGAGCGGCATGCTGCCGGCAAAAGAGCTGCAGCGTTGCTCCCTTAGGCGGCTTTACGCGCGGCTGGCGCGCGCAGTTAAATGTTTGGACGGAGCGTGGGTTTAGCCGAGCCGGCCCAAAGGATCGCGTGCAGACGTGAGACCCCGCCACGCGGATCTCCGTTCGCCTTCAAAATTCGAGAGCACGGGCGCTCTACACTGGGCGCCCATCGGGAGGGGGCCGCCGGTGAGCTGCTGGGAGATTGTGGAATTGCCAGCGTTCTGTCTGCAATGCCTGGGTCCTCGTCTGGACTGCCGTTGCCAGCGGCGTGAGTTTTGGCGCGCATTTTTGCTGCGTGTCGCCATCGAGAGGTCTGCAATTCTAGCCGGGCCATGTTGCGCACGGAGTTAGTGCGCCGTTGCGCGCGAAGATAGTCCCACATTGAATCATGCACAGGGATTGCACCTCGCGACGCTGGCAGCGGCAGCGCATGGTTGCGCGTAGCCACGCCTGGATATCACACTTGACCCACATTCGTCCACGCAGCGCTGGGCGCATTCAACGAAACCCTTCGCAGTCGAAACCGACGGTGAGGAAAGTTCGCCTTCCCAAGGATACCCTTGCATCCTTGCCTCTTCGTTCCATCCCGAACCCCTTTTGATGGCCAGCCCCGCTCAAACAACTTTGCATGGGTGCCCAAGGGGCTTGCATCCTTATCGCGCATCCTGGCTACCCGTTTGGATCGCATTTCCGGCAACATGTTTGCCCGTCTGGCCGCTTTCGCAATTCCTGCTGTTTGCGCCGTGAGCGTGGTCGGGGGATCTCACGGCGGGGGTTCAGAAGCCCGTCGTCGCACGCGCGGCCACCGATGCAATGAGGGGGCGCAGGTCGCGGCGCTGCTTCTCAGCACCGGCCGCTGATCAAGAACCAGCTCAGAGGGTTAATTATGCGCCAACACATGTCCCGCGCGCCAGCTCTGCGCCGACTCCCCAACAGGGCGTGGACTGCATCGCGCGCTGTGCGCGCGTGTTGGAGTCGCGTGGACATGGGCATGCGGTGGCACACGCACGTTAATAAAATGTTGCCGTCGCCCGAAGCTCAGCGTGCCCCATGCTTCGTGCATCCCGTTCCTTTTCCTTTGTCTTTCTGCTCCCCTTCCTTTTCCCGCCGCCCCTGCGCCCCCCGCCCACGCCCCCCTCACCTTCCCCCCTTCCCCCCCTGTGGGCCGGGCCTGCGTCGCGCCCGCCCGGGGCCGGCCGGCCCCTTCTCCCGGGGGGATTCGACGAAGACAAGTCATCCTGCAGGGGCGCCCGCGTCGCCACTTTGCCGTAGCACGGCTGCCCCCATCCATTCACACCCTTGTCGGGGGCTCCAACGGCTTCTCCTCGTCTTCGCCCGCGCGGCTTTGGCTCGGGGCGACGAGAACCCAGCGCAATGGTTTCCTGACGGCATCCTCACGGCGCCGCAGTCGCTCGCGGCTGACAACATGGGCGGCTCCACCAAAGTGTCTCTTCGCGGTGCCGAACGTCGCCGAGCTCGCGGCAGTCGAGAACGATCTCCTCGGCAACGGCGACAAACCGCTCGCGGGCAGAGAAGCGCGATCCATGGCAAGACCTGCTGCAGGACACAGCAAAGTAATATCGACCGCATCCGGAGCGAATTGGAAACCATACTCAAAGAACCGATGGACCAAGCCACCGAGCATTTTCAGATGACATCCAAAGAGTCCACAATGACAGCGCAGAGCCAGTTCATGGCACACGCGCGAAAG